TGTATGTGCCCAAAGTACTAACATTTAGTAGAATGCGAGACATGGTAGTTTAACACCTGTTCAATGTGGAACGTCATAGTGGCTAACCAGAGCAAAAAAGCAAATACGAGTAGGGGAGAGGGGGGCATAGTAGGGTACTTAACGTTTAAACATTCCTAAAAACTAAAATAATGTGATTAAATTAAATTTTTTAACTTAGAATCATAGCTTAATTCATTGTGAATGTCCATGGATACTTTTATGTTGATAACGTAATTAATCTACGAGATGTAAATACTTAAATGAAAAAAGGCATTTGACCCGCTATGCCCCGTGCATAGGGGTAAAGTGGGGTCTCCTATGGGGCATTGTGGGGTGGTCATAATAAGGAACGAAACACAACTTCCAAACGAAATAGTTTTATTTCTTAGCAACATAACGACAGTTTAAAAAAATTAAAAATAACAACAACACTTTACCATAAGAAAATCACTACAAAAACTTCTCTTTATTATTTTTTTTGTAAGTTAAAGAAATCAGAGATCACACAAAAATCTTTAACACGTTTCTTTAATCTTTTATAAAACTTACATATTAAAAAAAGGAAATACAGAACGTTGGTACAGTTAAGTCATTACTTAACTGTACCAAAGTCACATCTCCTTTAAAACAAAACAAAAAAGAAGTTTAAGAGTTTTAGTTCGAGTTTAAGAAAAGAACTTTCAACAGCTACTCTATTGAAACCCATAGCTCTAGCTGCTGATGTTGGTTGAGGTTTTCTGTAGCTAATATTTTCGGATGTCTTTTAAGGAATCCTTTTAACCAATCTATACCAGCCAAACCACTCTCTGAATCAAATTTATGAGGATTTTCCATTTTTTTGAGCTACTTCAAATGCAAGTTTGCGCAGGTCACGTGAAGTCAGTCCATGAAACTGTGCTTCCATCAGTTTTATGTAATTGGCAGAGGGAGAAAACACGCTTTGGAAAATGGCCCAATTTCTTTTCAAAGATACTGTCGTCTGGACTGCCCCGATATTTAGAAACATGACGTTCTAATGTTGTTTGTGGAACGTTTTGTATATTTGCATATATTTGCTGCTTTTCTGTAGCCCATTACTTCGGACACAACACTGTGTACAGCTTGTTTCATAGCTTCCACAGACCATGAATGCTGTTCAGTCTTTCTCTTGTATGTGAGGACCATGTTGGCTAAAAACGTAAAAAATATATATATTACAACTTAGAAGTCTTTAAAAAGGGGGCAAAGTGGGGCACTTTTCTATAATAAAAAACGGGCACAGTGGGGTGCCCCACTTTGCCCCAGGTGCCATACCCCACTATGCCCCACCGGCTCGTTCAAAATTAAATACAAACTGACGTCATCTTACCGTTGATTCAATGACCTTGTGCTTGTTGATTAAGAAATGCGGAAGAGTACTGATTCATAATAAACTATAACACACCACAGTACACAAGTACGTTTAAGAAAGGTTTGCTGTTCAATTTCACTATTTTTTTTAAGAAAAACACTGGTTTTGATATTTTTGTTTACAACACACAAACGCATACGGAAATGGCGTGGCTCGCATATAGAGGTCACGCACCTACTAGCGACCAATCAAAGCGAGCCATTTGATAGTTTGCATAGCTTTCGTTTCGAGCTGCATAAGGCTCGCCCCGCTATGCCCCGTGGCCCCGCTATGCCCCCTCCTCCCCTACATACTTTGAATAAAATCATCATCATAATATAATTTAAATGCATTTCTTAAGTTATTTATCCTATTATTATTTAATTACTTTTTTTGCAATATTATTATAGTAACTAGAAAGTTATATACCTGAAATAATATTTTATTAATATAATCACGCAATACCTTTGCGCATGCGCCTTTGAATCGCACTAAAACCACTGATACTATTTTGTTAGACATAAAATTATTGCGATTTTATTAAATAGTAGATATAATAAAGTATCTACAAGTTGTCAAAGCTTTCTCAAGCTAGTTAAGCGAATAACTTGTTTAGCGATTTCTTTGGATTCCTTATAGGTAGGTACCTGTTAAAGAACCAGATTTAGATAACGAGCACATTGCAAACTTCTACGTTTCTAGTAGATACATACTACGAAGAAATATAAAACCTACACTAATAAAGTTTTATCGGTCTTGAAAAAATTCAAATACCTACTAAATTGACCATACATGTGTTAAAATGTAAACGTAGATCTTAATAGATTAGGTAAAACTGAAGTCTTTAGGGGAATTTTGAACGTTGTAATTTATTTATTAAGTATTTCTATAGGTCTAAGGTCTAACTTAAAAAAAGCTTTAAACACTCCTTTTGCAGATAATAAGGTTAAGAATTCATGATCTCTATATTTAAATTCGAAAATATAATATGTTATATATAGGTCCATCTTAACGGTCAATAAAGATTTCTCAAAGATGAGATATTTTCCCGTAGTAAAAAGTATCTCATATGATGACCCGGACATCCAGCTATCATCATACTAAATTTTATTAAAACCTGACCAGTGGTTATCCCGTGATGCGTTCCCAGATAGACAAACATACAAAACTCCTAAAAACTATAGATTCGGCCTCTGTATCAGTAATAATGACTATTTCAATAAGATTTTCCAAAAAAAATATTTAATGTACAGATTCTACTCAATTGTAATTTTATTTTATGTATAGATTAATGTTATTTGTTTTTGTTGTAGGTAAGTAATTTTAGGATATGTTAAATAAATATAAAATACCTCCATATTTAACAAAAACAATCAAACTATTAAAAATATACATTAAACGTACAATTTATATGATGTAAATAAATATATAGTTACTGCAGGTATTCTTCAGGGACTGTTTTATATTTGTAGTGCCCATCTATAGGCTATAGCATAACCGAATATATAATATACTATCTGTACTGCAGATACTAGGTATTTACCATGCGTCAGTTGAAAAATATAAAACTCTAAAACGAAGTCGAGAATTTCGTGGTTATGTGGTGACTAATATCCAAAACTTATACATATAACAAATGAAATAAAAATGTCGAAAGTAATTGCAAGTGTGCAAGGAGCTACACAATAATACACATTTTAAACGAAATCAACTTTAAAACATTAACATGATATGTTAATGACTTGATAAAGGCATGTTTTCTGTCTTCGAGCAGTATCTAAATGTATTTTACGTTTAAAAACGGTTATGTCAGTACATTTGATGAATAGTATTATCCACTAATTTACCTATCATAACTAATTTAGCAATTTAAATGATGTCATGCCCGAGAGTGATCGCGCTACGTAGTCGAGTCTATACATTTTCGTATATTATGTATTACGTATATATTTACAGAGTAAATTTACTGAGTACGCTTGAGTAATCGCCAAAACACCTACATGTTTCATTGTTTTTAAAATTAACCAATTGTAAAAGCCACATAGTAAAGAATTGAATTGAATTGAAATTAACCAACAAAAGAAATAAATCTTTGTTTCAAATTGGTGAGACATTTTTATTCAATAAATTAATGTGAAATTGATATTATAATTTTACAGAAATACGTTTAAAATTTTTATCTTACGGTCTATTATAATACCGTATTATTATCAATGAGCTTCTGAAATACTGTTTACATTGAATTTACTATCAAAATCAATCTATGAATTATAGAATAGGATTATTAGTGTTATCCAGGACAAAAATACTAACAGACTTAATCTGTATAATGTATGCACAAAGTTTTATTAAATCTGATCTAAGGTTTACGAGTGAGAAAGAAAAAACGATATCATTCGCAAACGTATAAAAAAAGATAATTATTTTATAATTGATTATTCTAATGATGGTTATTCATTCAAGAATATCCTATAGGAAATATACGTTTTAGCAAAAATGGCTACAAGTTTTTCTATATAATATTTGATCTACATTCAAGAATAGCGTGGATTTATTTAGAGGTAAAATTTGAAGTAGCTCTATTTGCTTATGAACAATAAAGTAATGCTGTGTACTTTCGTTTCGTTTATCTTTCGCCCGGCCCCATTTCTTTTGAATATTAAATATGTATTATGCATTTTGTCAGACAATGTTAACGAGGTTCCGATTAAGCCAAACTACTTTCAGTTGGAAACAACCAACGCCTGTAAGATTAAGGACTCTACCATCGCTATGTGACTCACTCTTAGCGATATCGAAATATGATTTAGAGAACAATTTTTTTTTATTCTAACTATAAATACGTTGTACACGTTGCTATGAATGGGAGATTCAGTTGTAAAAACAATTGAAGGTCAAGCGAAAATGAGGAGCACATGTTGATGTTAGGCACTTATCCAAAATATTTGAACAATAAACATTAAATTCGTGTCACTGAACTATAATAGTTGATTTTATTATTCTACTTTCTAAGACTGAACTTTTACCTTTATAAACAATTCTACATATTACAATTATTATTAGGAAGCCTGTTTCTAAGGATGTTACGTAAGTGACGACTTAACGACCTCTCTAAACCGTCGATGGATAAATAAGACTTAGCGTTAAGAGGCACGTTAAGCTTTGATATTAGAAATTAGAATGCCTTTAAAGAGGATGTGTCAGTGGTAAGAGCTTAAAATTTACAATAAATATCAGTTCTTACTATAAGGGCTATTTTGAAATGTTTAAGTCGCTGTTTACTATCATTATACACAATATAAAATATTTAGTAATATACATAAATACCGAAACCTGTTTGTCGTTAAAATATTTTATTAAAACATTTAAATTAAAGTTAAATAATTTAAATAAGTACTAAAATTCTGTATTTACTATTTAGATAAATGGTGGTTCTATGATTTATGATATAATGATTGATATTCTGCGACGGACTACTTGCTCATCAATATAAGAGTGGCGGTCGATACACAATAACGCTATGTTGGTATTTAGACGACTCACAGCCTTGGAAATAAATCTATTCGAATGAAAAAAATGAGTCATAGTAATTAATATGTACGCTACTCACCCACAAGTACAGATTTCACAGATGCACTGTTCCTTGTCAATGATTTTCTCTGGTTTCTTGGGCCCACCCTGTCTTGGCCTGGTTACGTCTATGTAGATTTTCTCCTCGACAACGGTCCTGTCATCTCGCACAGTCTTCCTGTCATCTATGATAGTTTCATCATAGATGGTGCTGATGACGGTATCCTCTCTCGTGGTGTCGGTAATCGCCCGATCGACCACGTCGTATTCGCGTATATCTTTCGTTGTGCGGACATCCTTCTATAAATGAAAGAAATTTTATGAGTACATTGAACTATAAGAGCATTTTAATTGTCAAATATTTCATAAGATACTTACCAAGTTTTTGATGTCTAACGCGCTATTATCGACAAAAACATCCGTTTTTATCTTCTCGTCCTCTTTCGCATCTTCATAGGTAGTTTCTTTCCTAGTGATGCCATTTTCAGTAATGTATCGAGTCACTTCGATTTGACTCCTTGTTTTATCTACCTCAAATGTCTTTTTGACCGTATCGCCGGTGGTAGTGCGTAAAACTGTTGTTTGTTCAGTATCAATACCTTCATACAAGTCCTTGACATCTTCATTAATTTTAGTACCAAAAGTGACCTTATCAATTCTCTTAAAAGGATACTTTTTCACTGTGTCAATTATTTCCTTTAATACTTTGTCATCTATATTTCTCTTGATGACTATATTTTTGTTGCTAACTGTGACGTCCTTATTGTAACGAGAACTTTCAATTATTTTTCGTAGATCACTGATGGATGTGAAGTCTTTTATGTCTCTTGAAGATAAAATAATGTTTTCTTCAGTGTCTTGTCTTTTCAGGTGATGCCTGGGCTCCGGTTTGCCAAATGGAGACATCTCTTTTGGACGTTTTGGTTTATTATCATCAGTTTCATAAACAAATTTGCCATTCCATGTGCCAGTACTCCTTTCGTAACTTGTTAAAGTATCTTTAGTCTGAGATGTCGATTTTGATGTAGTCTCTTTTGTTAAATTTTGCTTCTCCGTAGTTATAAAATCAGTAGTATGTGTAACATCTTTAGAATCTTGGACATGAGACTGAGTATCACTCGTAGTTTCATAAGTATCAGTGTAAATATTTTTGTCACTTGATGTAATATTCTTCCGTGTGACATCATCTCTATCAGTTACATGTTCTGTGATAGCTGGTTTCTTCCGGAAGTCACCACCATATGTGTTACTTGTTGATGCAATTTCCTTCCCATTTTTATACAAAGCAGACTCTTCTGTAACGTATGTTCCGCTTTTAGGGATTCCATCTTTTCCAGTATCATAATACGCCTCCTTATCTAAAACATGACGTGAATACTCATGCTCTGGCTTAATTCCAGTACCTTGAATTTGATGGCTTTTCTCATAAGTTGATCGTTCTTTACTATCTCCCCATTCCCGGTGTGAGCTATCGACTACTCTTTGCTTCCCATCTACAATTTCCATTACATATGACGATGTAGATTCTTGTTGAGCGCTACTTGTGTTACTCTTTAAGATTTTAGTAGAGTAATCAAGATTATCTATGTTTTGAACTTGCAAAATATCACCGACTTTTCGAAGCTGATTTTGTATTGTTGAATCATAACCATAAAAATTTGAAGAATCAGTTTTATTACGATTTATTCTCTTGATTGTCTCATTACTTGTCTTATTACTTTCCGTTATATTACTTTTAACCACATTTCTATCACTCTGTCGATCATTTATGTTATGTGAAGTACTTTGAACGACATTACTATCAATTTGCTGATTATTTATGTCGTGAGAAGTCATTTGGGAGACATTTCTATCCTCCTGTTTATTATTAATATTATGGGAAGAAATAGATTGAAAACGATCACTAGATTGTAATTGATCTTTCGATGTAATTTCCTCTTGTATAGAACTATGCTGTTGCTGAATAGCATTGTCTTTATGTGAAATAACACTGTCATGGCTTGTCACATGAGTTCCATCTTTTACAAATTTAGAATTTTCCCTCACAGTCATTTCATTTATTGGTTTTTTCCCGTCTTTTCCGGTATCATATTTAGATTTCATGTCATAATTCTGAATACTATGCGCTGATTCTGGCTTTATATCAGTTCCACTGATGCTTGAATAATTTTCCTTACTAGCGTGTTCTTTTGCATCTCCCCACTCTCGTTTAGAGCTGTCTATAATACGTTCTTTTCCATCTACAATTTCAACAACATAAGAAGAAGATGAAGATTTGGCCACGCTGCTACTTTTAGTTTCACTGGAATGTGACGTACTACTATACTCTTTTGATTTGACATTCTTGTCAAGGCTTCCTTCGCCACCATAAAAATTAGAACGATCCGATCCTGTTGTCTGAGTTCTTTTAGAAGAATCAGAAATATTTCTTCGTTCATTCTCGCGAATATTAACATTTTTCGTACTATCAGAAACAGTCGAAGTTGTAATATCCTGGTTCGTAGCTTGTGCTGTCGATGAACTAGATTGCTGTTGTTGGTGTTGTGAAGATTGATTCAATAAATTCTGACGTTCGGATTGAATAAAAGTATTAGTGGCATTTGCTCCTTGGGATCTTGTTAGAAATCTGTTAGCGCCTGTGTTATTTACCGAATTATCAATAAATGCCGTATTAAGAGTCTGATTACTAGCGTTAGAGTCCATAGTTCTATCAAAAGTTTTGCTTTGACTCGAGTCTAAGTGTTGAACAGATGTAGAAGAAGACTGAAAAGTTTCACTTTTAGAACTCTGTTGGTGAGATGTAGAGGACTCTTGAAGCACAGAGCTAGATACAAACTCGCCGGTAGTCGCCTGGGCCATGTCACTGACATGATGTTCGTGAGATCTAGTCTGCGACAAGTCGGAGACAGAAGGAGCCTCGGTAATTATGTAGTGAGGATGGCTATTGTAAAGTTCGGATACAGTAGAACCACTAATCGAAGCATGATCGGAAATATCAGTAATCATAAGCGGGTCATCCTCCTCGATTTTAACTTCAATATAGCGAACCTTCTTACCAGACGAGCTGACCTTCTGTACATTACTGCTGCTCTTTTGCACGGAAGTTGAAGTGCTGCTTTTCTGAACACTACTACTAGACGCACTCTTAGACGAAGTCGCTTCGGACGACTGTTTAGTCTTTTTATTTTTTATAGTCATTTTGGCCCCACTTATTTACGTATATTATAAAAAATTAAATACTTTATAGGAGATTCTTAAATTATAAAGATTAAATAGCCTTACACGTAAATCATAAATAAAATTATATCACATATTAAAAAGTCAAATGTTTGCCATGTAACAATAATAACTGTATAATAATAAAATCAATTCGCGAGAGTCGTTCGAGTCGTATATCGCTGCGTGCGCGCGCGCTGGCTGCGACTGACTCGCGTAGTCTGCGCAGACGCCGGTCCCCCCTCGCACCTTGATGCGAGTGTCGCCCACCAACCTTCGCGACACGTAAGCGCTTACATCTCACTGTTGGAGTCAAACCAAAAATGGCATACCGAATGTTACTTAATGAATATGGCCAGCTTAATATGTTTCTTGGTATTTGTAACAAGAAAACACAATTTTTGCAACATTAGTTTTGTTGTCAATGGAACTTACGTCAGAATTATTTTTATTTTTAATCGTCATAAAAACATTTATTCATCGCTGCATCACTAATGCACAAACACAAGCATAATTCCTATGAAGGCATAATAAAAATGACTTTTTCATCAAATGGCCTAATGGAGTCTTGAGGCTTGTAAAATATTACATAGGTAATTTAGCACTGTCTTTTTCGCTCGAAATATATATATGTTATAAATAAGTGTAATGCCTTTAGTTTTATTTAGAATACTTAAACCACAAGACAACCATGACATGCATACACTTTTCAGAATAGTCTCGTAAGTCTATACGATGTAGAAGGAAAATGTAGAGTTGCTGAGTTATAAGCTGATTGAAATTTTCTAAATGTTATATTTACTTATATTATTCATTCATTTTAATTTTATCTGTAGAAAATAATACTATATTTATATAGTTTACATTAAAACATAAGATTATTAAAATAGTTCTGACGTATAAAATTTTATCTCTAGGTAGGTACTATCTTTATGAAAAATATTATTATATCTAATAATTTGGTTTTATACATGTAAATAATAATATAAGAATTAGTATTTATATCTATTTGGAAGTAAGCATTAGCTTTATAAATAATATGAAATCAAAATATTATAATTTTCTTAAAATTAATGCCTAAGTTACCTCTAAAATAACAGATATTCCATGTTTTCTGTTTGCGTGTGCATAAACTGAGAACGGCTAATATAATAGACTCCGACTAGGATTTAAGCATCAGAGATCAAATAAAAAATATCTCTTACAAATTCCTTTAATATTAATAAAACCAACTAAAAATGTGATTTTCGAAAATCTATTGATAATAGTTATTAAAAAAAATATGAGTTGTAGACAAAAAAAAGGATTAAAAAAACATTACATTAATATTTACATAAAACGTATTAGCAGGTTGTGTAGAGTCTACGGTTACGGCTTCAACTCTAAGATAAATATCTACTCTAAGCTATTCTGTAAAATATGAAGTCCTTAAGAAAACAAAAATGATATATTTATTCAACATATTTAATTACAAAATATATTTTTAATAAATTGATAAATAAATAATAATTAAATTTCGATAATACATTGAAGATAGCTTTTAAACATTAATGGTAGAACTGCAGTCCTTTTAAAGTGACATTGTATTCGTACGTATGAGGTGCATTTACATAAGCCTTTGGTGGCGTCAATTAAATCCAGTCTTGCTATGACACAAGCTACATAACTCGAATCGACCTACTTTTATTAAGTCTCCAGGTTAATTTATTGCGAAATATATTTTCGATATTTTATGTACGGTACCTAGTTCTCTTTTTAGTCGTGCAATTCAAATTGAAGAGGCTGTTTGGTTTTTTGTCTGTTTTAATCTCTAGCATTACCAAAGAATAAAAAAAAATCTTTTTACAACCATTCCCAAAAATATCACATTCAAAAAAAAAACATAAGTATAACTTAATGTTAATAGTTAATTCTAAAAGTTAATAATAAAATAATGGCCATGATTAAGATCTTAGTCATATACCTAACTAAAAATCGTCTGAAAGGAGCTACTTTGACGTAGTTTTATTTCAACACATAAAGAAATATTCTACTTAAATATCTGAATTATTTAAACCAATTGAATGTTCGCAATGCTTTTACAATGTTAGGTACATTCGTCTATAATTTTATTAAAATCACTTATTATTAACAAATGATAATTGCAGCAACTTCTTCAATCACCATAAAACACTTTTGAATATTTAATACCTAGGTAGTGTTGCAAACATAGAAATTACTGCGCAAATGAATACAACCTACGCAGACTACTATCCAAACAGGATCAAATTTATCGATAGTTCCGCACCCTATTCTTTTTACATGAAAATATACATTTATATAATATACATTTTATATCCAATTTTTCATTTTCTTTGTTTTTCGTATTTTGCTATAAAATTAGTACGGGATACTAAAGAGACAAAAATAAAATGGATTATATAACAAACACCCTCTAAAACATATTTATGAGGTTAAACTACCAAAATATACCAAAACCTACGAAAATTATTAATAGATGAATAGTGTACTTATTATAATAAGCATATGTGCATTCGAATAAAGTGAACGTTTGTGCAGTCTACATTAAACTCCTTAACCTCAAGTTTCAGATTTATCAATGACTCACGTGGGCGGATTAATCTGGTCATACTCATTAAAAATGTGGGAAATAAATATAACCATTTAAGTGAATGGAAGTAAAAATTATTGTATATGAAACAATATATTGATCGAAAACCTCTGGCAAAAGGTATAACCGTAGGTTGCACAAGGCCCGGTTTTTGTTGCCTTTACAAGGTAATGGTGGGCGAGTAGCTTTAGCTTTGAATCACGCGCCCACTGGCTGATTACATGCACCAAGAATAAATTTATTAATCATTATATATCATAATAACAAAATCTATTCACATTTCTTTCCATGTCCATTCATCAGACTGAGCGAGATATTCCAAGAATAGGCATGGCACTATAAATATTATCCTTAGACTCTAGTTTGTGTAATATCGCCCTTTTATAATTAAAACGTCAAAAATTATATATTATTCTTTTTACTCGACACTATGTAAGTACTTTCCATTTTAACAAATTATATTTATAAAATTTTAAATTAATAATTTTTTGGGCTCAAACATATTCTACGACTGTCTAAATTCTAATACACCAAAAGTTTACTATGATACAAATGCCATGCTTTGAAGCCATTAACAAAAGAATTCAGTTGAAATATTATGATGAAACGTAAATGTTTCAAATAAAGTTTAAATGCAAAAGTTTTATTAATCTCTTACAAAGACACGTTCCCTGAACTTTATGACAATTCACACTCGAATCACTATAATCACACAGACGAAAATGAGTTAACAAATATTATAAGCAATTCCAAGAAATTCATTACTTGTTACTAAACTAACTTTAAACTGAAGTAAAATAATACATCTATCTCTAGAACAACATATTTTTAAATGTGTTTTACATGACCGTGGTTATGCTACTTCTATGAAGTGAACTAGAATCGTTCATTGCCTAATGCACGACTACATATAAAATATTAACATGTCTGTGTTTGATAACGTGATTTCTATTATTTATTATTTTGATTTATGAATGCATTTTTATACATTAAAGTGTACCTATTTTAATTTTAATATACCTATATTAAAATTAAAATAGGTACACTACGTTTTATTTACTATAATATAATATTATTTTGAACGTTTCGGGCCAAAATTAGAGACTGGTTACATATTTCAGTCTATCACTAAATATTTCTAATTAATACAAATATTTTAAAAATATAGTATAAATTATTAAAGTACTCTTTGTCATAAATTAAAGCATGATATTTTTCTTTAAAGTTTGCAGTAAGCATCACAACAAAGCCAGAAGCAACAACTAGTAAAATAAAAGTTGCGCCGGGAAATCAATATCTTAAAGCGCAATCAACATTATTAAGCTTTCAAAAATTTAAATGTTGTTAAAATAATCGTAATATTAAATTCAATAGTAACATTATGCTCCTTGGGTATTAATCATCACTAACATAGTTTAATAAATAATTATACTTACAAGTTACATTTTGTTATTTTATTTAACGAATGTTATTTTACATATTAATAAAAATAATCACATGTAGATGGAAATTGATGATAAAGGAATAATTAAAATCAGAATCGAAAATATTATTAATGAATAAATATGTAGGTTATACTTATATAAATATACTAGCGGACCCGACAGACGTTGTCCTGTCTACACGTCTTTAATTTGAAAATTTCAAACTTTTTTTAATAATTTTTTTGATGAAAATTATTATTCAAATTGTGAATCTAAACCATTCCCAGATCCCCTTGAACACACACAAAAAATTTCATCAAAATCGGTCCAGTCGTTTGAGAGAAGTTCAGTGACATACACACTCACAGAAGAATTATATATATAAAGATGTACATGTTTTTTTAATATACATATAGTATTGCAATGGTCCTTTAATTTACGGTCAAAACATTTTTTTTAATAAAAAAATTAGAGACATCATTATTTTAAATTTCACTAAAATTCTCGAAAAATTAAAATAATATAATATTATAATCTTTAGCCTAAGTCTAAAGGCTGCTACTAGCTCTACTCTAAATGCTTGTAGTGCCATCTACTAGCTCATAATATAAATAATTTTAAACTAGTACCGCCATCTGTTTAAATTTTTGTAATCTATGTAGTACAACTACTCAAATCAAATGTCAATTTCCTTATTGTTTTTGCCAACAAAGAGATGGCAGTAGTGGCATAGTTAGTCGATAAATGGCTGTGTGCGTCACGTCGCTGCGCAATCAAGCACGGAAATAACTAACAGCTGTTCTACAATATTCGGTCGGGCAACTCAGGTAGCAGCTGTGTATGAGTGAATACGCAGCCGTTTTCCTTGGAATTGCGATTGTTTAGCGTTGAGTGGTGGCTTTCTCATTATTTTTTATCTCCTCGTGCTATTAACGATACCTATTTTTAAAGTTCATTAAAGACAACGTGCACTCGCATTGTCAGCGTCGACAGTGCGCGAATCGTATTATCCGTGAATCCCTTGCGATATGTTTACCAAAATTTGTTCGTTGTTATTGTGAGCTGAGACAAGTTGAAATGCCTCGTGTATACGTGGACTGCGAGAAGAGTTTCACAGTGTTATGTCAATAGAATCTACCTGTAGATAGCAATTTTAATTTTTTATCAATAGTTATTTAAAAATGTCTACTACGGTACCAACCAGTTCAGCTTTGAGGGCTTTGGCCTTAGAATACAAGAGCCTACAAGAAGAGCCTGTCGAAGGATTTCGAGTGAAGTTATCGGGTGAGGACAATTTGTTTGAATGGGAGGTTGCAATATTTGGACCTCCAGACACGCTTTACCAAGGCGGATACTTCAAGGTAAGCTATTCATTGTAGTGCAATCATCCGTAATGCTTAACAAGTTTATCTATTTTAGGCATTATCAAAATAGTATATGAATTATTCATGCAACTTGAACAAATAATTAATAAACCAATACTGTTTTAGTTTAAACAAATATAAAATATTGATTGACAGTAAATATGGGCTTAGATAAATATTTTGGAAAAAACTATTAACATTCATGATGTGATTGTTTTATTGTTCAGTTGCAAAGTTACAGTTGAGACAATAAAGAAAATATGTACCTAGTTTGTAAAATTATTAAAATATTTTTCAATAAATAGTTCTTTTTTATATTTCCAAATGAACACTGGTACCAAACTCTATTTATAAAAAAAAAATAGAATGCCATTTTTGTATACTTTCCCATTAAATCACTAAAATTGAAGCATTTCTTAAAAAAACATTTTTACGAAACTACTATTAATGTTCAAATAATATAAAAGTATATAATATATGTGAACAAAATTTATAATATTAAGTATTTTGTTGGCTTTATCTTTAATATGTTATATTAATCTTTAAGAACCTTTATTAGAATGTGTAATTGTCACTACCATAATTATTATATGCAATAGTTATTACTATTAGTGTGTACAGTACTATAAGAAATCTTATGTATTATGATTTCATCTGTTTTTTTTTTGTTTTGTAACTGGATAAAACTTGATAATATTTATAAAATTGTACTCATTATTAACTAACAAAATAAATATTTTATTTATGCACTTATGATATGGATGTGTTATTGCTTCGATGTATACATAAGTCAGTATTATTATTTACTATTCAATAATATTATTTTGAGTTGGATATTACATACTTCAATACTACCTCTTAACAAGAATGCAAAATAGCCTGTTCATTTTTTTTGTGTACTAATTTATTAAAATTACTAGTTTTAACTAAGTAGCTGTAATGAAATGCAAAATGCATTTTTAAATAATGTAATATGTGCATTTAATCTTATTAAAAGTTAATTTGAATCTACCTACATTATTAAAAAAACATCTAGACATGTAATAAAATTCTGTACATTAATTTTTTTTGGAAAATCTTATTGAAATAGTCTTTATTTATTGATACAGAGGTTTTTTTTGTCTGTGTCTATCTGGAAATGCATTATGAGAAAACCACTGGACAGATTTTGATGAAATTTGGTATGATGATAGCTGGTTATTGGGGTCAACCATATAGGATACTTTTTTACTGTGGGAAAATATCTCATCTATGAGAAATCAATAATAAACTTTAAAACATAACTAGGAATGAACCAGCGAGGGTGAGTCTTTCCTAGTAATATAAAGGTAAATGAAGGTAACTGCCTATTTGTTACCTTTTCATGCTAAAACAGCTGAGTAAATTTGGCATGAAAAAAAGATTGCATCATAGGCATGTGCATAGGCTATCCTCTATTTACCATGTGGGAGGAGAAAGTAAATTGAAGTTTTATTACTATAAGATTGTGTGAACTATATAATTAAATATCTTTAACTTTTGTGTTGATATAATAAAATATATGTAAAATTGGACTAAATTATGTAATTACTTATTATCTTATATCAAAAACTCACAGTAGAAACTTATGTAACAAGAATAAATAGATATTAACATTATCATTTCAATTACTTTTTACTACATATATTTTATTTATTACTTCAAATTAAAAAAAAACTGATAAAAAGAAATATTACAATAAGCATAAGCAAACCATGTTTCTAAGATCATCGAGATGACATATCGAATATCAATAAAGCATGATGTAATCTATCCATATTATTATTATAATTGTGAAAGTTTGTGAGTATGAATGTTTGTTACTCTTTCACACCAGAACGGCTGAATGGATCTGGATGTAATTTGGCACAGAGAGAGAATATAGTCTGGAATAACACATAGGCTACTTTTATCCCGGAAAAATGCGGCCCGTGGGATAGGTTTTTTTTTTTGTTCATAAAATGTTTAATTTGTATTATAAGCTCCACTTGTGCTATAGTTCTCAAATTGTAATCCATGTGATGATGCAGGATATAAGCTTCTCTTCTCTTATAATTACACTTCTCTATAAATAAATTGAAATATTATATTTAATCTACATTTATATATTCACTCAAATCCTTTGACCTGTTATATTGTAAAAAAATTACAAACACATTTATAAACTTTCACACAATATTAGTGTGATTTTTACAAAGCACATTTAACAAGCATTTCTTTTAGTTCAATGAATATTTCTATGCCAGTGCACAACAATACCGCCATTACATGCTTACATTGCTTTAATTTTAGTCATGAAATTGTTTATATTTAAAGTAAGTACAAAGCAGAATTAAATTAATTTTTTTATACATAATTTACTGATACAACAAAATACTGTACAAGTAAATTGTACTTTTAAATAAAGTTCATAAAAAAGAATACAGAGGGTTAAAAAGGCTACATGAATAACCCCATTATTAATTATATAATATTACATAAATAATATTACAAATGCGAAAGTTTTGATGGAGGTTTGTTACTCAATTACGCCAGAACTGCTGGACGGATCTGGATGAAATTTGTCACAGTGATAGATTATAGACCGAAATAGCACCGAGGATACTTTTTATCCCGGAAAAATATATGGTTCCCATGGGATAGATTTGTTTCTGATTTTCAGTATATTCTATTTATTATATATATATATATATATATATATATATATATATATATATATATATATATATATATATATATATATTGATTTAATCATTGAAAAAACTTAAATACTTCTTGAAAGAAATAAATACAAAAGTAACAGCACTGCACTAGTTTTATATTTTTTTAAATTATTATTTGTATTACACTGCTAAAGATACTATTGACCATTACACTATCTAGGATGATAATGAATGATCAGACTAGAACAATGCGTTGTCATGTTAACATTAAATATTACAGTAAATGTGGTACATATTTTCCTTTTCAAATTAACATACTTTCCTTTTCGCATGTCTTCAGCCCTTTTTAACGTCCCACTGCTGGACACAGACCTCCCTTTAATTCGAGGGCGGAGAGGGATCAGTCAATAGTCGACCACGCTGGCCAAGTGCGGGTTGGCGGACTGCACATGACTTTCGAAAACTTGCTAGGTTCTCTCAGACATGCAGGTTTCCTCACGATGTTTTCCTTCACCGTAAGACAAGTGGTAATCATGTTGGAAATGATTCGCACATGAAAATATCAGTGGTGCGAGACCCGGGATTTGAACCCGCGTTACTCGGTTCCCCTAGCGAGCGCGTTACCAGTGGGCTACTGCTCATTTTGCATATTAATAATATGCATTTAAACAAGTTGGCCTGATATAATTTGATAATACTCATAACGCGCGCCCGCACACACACGCGCGGACATACACACTCAACTTCACTCTATATCCCTTGCGGGGTACACAGTGCAATTTCCTAAAATCTACATACCCACCTCTTTCGTTTCTTCCATTGATAATATTTTTTTTTATTAATTGATAATAATTGATATAGAAAGATATATTCATATTTTATTAGCTTAGCTTAATCAAGTGTGAATATCCTATTATCTGAATAAGATATTCTAGTAATTTATACTACCTATATCATGGTCATGTTTTAGAAACATTTCTTGAAATAGCCAGTGGCTGGCCACAACATAGTGTGGTAATTTATGTAACATAATATTTTATACAAATACTAATTAAGTAATATGTTGAATAGGTTTTAAAAAAAAGAATTTATTCATTAAAAATAGTTTTTTTTTTAATTACATAAAGGCATTTTATAGTTAAGAATATTTAAAGAGGATAATGTTCTCTAAAGTGAATATTGTGCATTAACAGTATATTAATCATATTGTGGAGTGTCAAGTAAACATGTTATGAATAAAACAGTATTAAATTATAATTATTAATGGTTTATTATATGTATAGGTATTACATACATTTACACTTATCATTAAATTATATACAAATATTTTTAAAGCAAATGTGTACTATAATATTTAACTGTGTTATCCTCTTTGTTACAGGCACATATGAAATTCCCTCCAGACTACCCATACTCACCACCCTCTATTAGGTTTTTAACTAAAGTATGGCATCCAAATGTGTATGAGGTGAGTACTATGTGGTTTATTCAAGAATCTTATATTCCATACTAATATTATAAATGCTCAAGTATTTACTCTGTGTTACGTTTTCACGCATAAACGCTGAACCAATTTTGATGAATTTTGGTATAGATATATATGAATGGGGCCTTGGAGAAACGAGTAAGAAGAACTTAGACTACTTTTTGTCGCAAAAATGAAACTTGAAGGGGTTGAAAGTTTGTGTTAAGAACCAGTTATTTCTCAAGTTAAGGACATAATAATTCGTTATCAATACAGATAAATAAAATTGAAATGTCTGTTTTTAATTTCAAAATAACATATTTTTACTAAATGTATATGAAATTATGTACGCTATCTATAAAAAAACGCAGCTTTAAAATTTTTGTCTGTCTTTCTCTCTGTCAGTCTATCTGTTTGTTCCGGCTAATCTCTGAAACGGCTCAACTGATTTTGATAAGGCTTTCATTAACAAATAGCTGATTTTATAAGGAGTAACTAAGGCTAATTTATTTTAGAAAAAGAATTAGGATTCTGCTCAAAAAAATTAATACTTTTATTTAAAAAAATATATTGCGTTCCGCTCAAAAAAATTAAAATGTTCCTCGGGACGCACATACTTTATACATTTTAAATAAAACTATCTTTTCGGATTTTTCGCGGACTAATTTTAATTTTTGGTTCCCCGACGTTTCGGATGCTTTACAGCAGTCATGGTCAAGTGAGAGCTTTTTTAAAGTATTACTACCGACTTTTCTAAACCTATGTATGTAAATATACATATATACATATAGTCTATTCTTTGCTAATCATTAAAACGTAGGTACCTAATACCTAGAGACGCATCCAAGCTTTGCGAGGGTAAAGCTTCATTTACATGGAGAGAGTTTATCGCACGTTTTGGGCCGAGAAGCTGTATGCTATTATCGTAGAGGATAATCTTTAAACGATAATCGCATTCACATGTTTACATTCAACCAAAAATAAAGTACATAGTTAAAAAAAATTGAACCGACTTCAAAAAAAATACTAATAAAAAGTAAAAAAAATACTTAACTGAACGAGGGTTTTCATTTACTATAGAATTAGATGCATATCAGATATTGTCGAAGTCAGTGCCAGCCGAAGCAAAGCAAAGTAAATCTATTTCGATCCGTATAAATAACGGTAAGTTGAAATAAATGTAAGCAAATAAAAAAATAATGATCACGATCTGATTACTAGTTACGGAGAAATGATTTTCATTTACTATACATACCTAATCAAATATGTTCGAAGTCGGTGCCAGCCGATACAAATTACAAAGCAAAGCACACAGACTTCGAAAATATTTGATTAGGATTTAGGTATGTATAGTAGGTATAAATGAAAACTACCAATCAGTTATTTTTACTTTTTAGTGCTTTTTTTTGAAGTTGGTTTTTATTTTTTATTGTTAAAAAGTTTTTATTTGAAGTCCATGCGAGTATTATACAAATCGGTTTGAACCGATCTGCATGCAAGATTTGCCATCCGAGCTCGGTGATTAGTACGGTATTGTCTTCAAAATGACACAAAAATCATATAAATTTGGATCTGCTGACAATATAAAGTCCATTGAACTTTATAGAAGTGTTTGTGGAATAGTGAGCATAATAAATAAATATATTATAAAAATAAAAAACTCGACTGCATAATACTATATTCCTTCGTGAGCTTGTTTTCATATTTTTAGTTAGCTTTTATGCAGTCGGGTTTTTTATTTTTATAATATATTTATTTATTTACATCTTTTTAAGTATTTTTAAGTAGGAAAATTAGCGAGAATGGTTGTTAACCAACTTTAAATCATTATATATCCTAAACTGTTATTTAAAATGAAAAATGATGAAAGAAACCTAAAAATGATTTTTAAATACTTATTCGACGATATCCCACTGGACATAGTTCGTCGATTCAAAATCGGCCATTTTGATTTTTCCAATTTTTTATGCTTCCTATCACATTCGCGCCGTCATGTCATGACGAATCAAACGACGGCCCACACGTTTGATCTAAATAGTGCCACAGAGGTACAAACCCACATACATACATATGTATATAGGCTGATAAACACATTATCCTCCTTTGCGTCGCGCAGTCGGGTAAAAAATTATAAAAATCCTGATGCAAGAAATGCTGCAATCATGCTAGTATCTTACTATCCAAATTTAATTTAAATCCTTTAAGACAGTGCAACATTAATTGGTACCAAACGTACACTCAATTACATACAAATTTGCGATTTCTTAATATTATTGTGGTAATTATTTTTTTTTTTTACTAAAGAGTAGAAGAAAAAATACGCCTACTGTTACTTGTCACCGTCTGTCTCTATTATAGGTACCTACTTCATTATTAAAATAAAATCCTCGCAATTTAGAAAGTAGGTAGGTACCCTAAAAGATGCAACTAGTGAGTAAATGTAACTACAACCATAACGAATATATTCAATTACGGAAGTCCCACTAATAACAAAGCCGATAAAAACCACAATATAAAAGAAAAACTGAACAATAGTAAGGGAAATGTAAACTGTAAATTGGTTTCACGGTGGCTTATTCTCGTATCCTTGCCGTATGTTGCCCATATACTAAAGCTAAAATAGTAGGCTTTTGTGCTTGGGAATATGGGTCGAATTACAGTAATGTCCAAGAATCGGTTTTTGTTATTTACCTTTACTAACCTTTATAACTGTATGAGTATCTTAATAAATGAGCCCAAATAACAAATTGTTACCAATTTATGCTCTATAAAATGTGGAAACTAATTAATACTATGATTTACACAAATTTCTGATATAATTTTTTTTTTGCGATAAGTTCAAAGATATACCATAACCTTCTCATATAGGTACTATTTATTAAAAAATATAAATTATAAAAATAAAAAAAAAACCGTACGTACGATGGAACGTGAATGTCTCCGACTGCATAATACTATATTCCTTCGTCAACTTGTTTTCATCCTTTTAGTTAGCTCTTATGCAGTCGGGTTCTTTTATTTTTATAATATGTTATTTTATTTAAAGCTTTTTAGATTTTGAAAATTAGACATTTGAAGTTGTAATATTTACAAATTTTTAGGGTTCCGTACATCAAAAGCTAAAAAAAGGAACCCTTATAAGATCACTCTCTTGTCCGTCTGTCTATCCGTGTGTCACCACCGATTTTCTCAGGAACGGGTGGACCTAGCAAGTTGCAATTTATACCAGATACTGAGGTCTATAGTCCCTATTAGGTGTATAAAAATCAAGGTCCTGAGTCAACACGATAAAAAGATATGTATAGGCAAATTTAGATTTTCGCGTGCTTGTAAGTACCAAAATTTGCCTTAATTTTCAACTTTTTTGATTTTTCGAAATTATCCTTTTACTTGTGCTGTAAGACCTTGCTTTTAACCAAAATTGACAATTCTAGGTTAACCGGAAGTAGGTACCCTATAGGTTTTAGGTCGAAAACCTATATGGTAGTTCTCGTTGACCTAACAAGATCTTAGATGCACAAATAAAGGAAAAATTCCAAAAAATAAAAAAAGTTGAAGTTAAACAGACTTCCTACAAATTTGTACGGAACCCTCGGTGGGCGAGTCCGACTCGCACTTGTCCGTAATTTTTTATCCTAAATTACTTTTATATAAGTTCTATAGCTATACGTATTTTCGTGATCGCGGCTTAAAAACCTTAATTTCGATATTCCACTCGATTGGTTTGGAAGATTTAAAAAAAAGACAAATTGGCGCCTGAAATCCGCCATTTTAAGTTTTAACTAGTTTTATGTAAATAAATATAGCCTATGATACTCGAGTTATCAAGACGAATCTAAAGACGAATGAATCATCAAAATCGACCCACTCGTTTGGTCTCTAGAACGCCATGGGAAAATACATACATACATAGACTGATAAACCCTTTTTTTTTTTATTTTCATTAAACACAACACCCTCCTTTGCGTTGCGCATTCGGGTAAATATATGGGTAAGTACCATTAAGAATCTATAAAAGAATGCTAAAATATGCATTGGGAGAAGCTGAAGAGGCATGCCGGAATTTGTACGCTTCACAACATACTCTACACTGCCTCCACAAAGAACTTCACAAAAGAACATACTAAGAAATAAGTTAGTACCATAAATTTTTACTTTCTGCTTAAGTTTAATATAAACTTAATAATAACTTTCAAAATCTTATTGATAGTAAAATCCTTTCTATAGAAACAAATTCTATTTTATAGAGCTGTTGAAGAGAAGAGTTTTTAAATATCTGATATGATTTTAGAAATCATAGTTGAACCCTGTATTAGAACTAAACGTCAGAGATTTACGAGTTCAATATCTGCCTGGAATGATTGTTTATATTATTCGTATATTATATTTAGATTTTACTAATATAATTTTATTTCTTTAACTTTTCCTATATATTTTTCTTTTAGGACAAGAGGGTGCAAGTGCACCCCCTTGCATCCCCCTCCCGGCGCCCATGCATGCATTTACTTTATATTGACGGGTCTTCATTCATTACGCACCGCTAATCAGCATGTTCTTTCTGTCTATATTACAAGAAGAGATGGCGTCAAACTGGAAAAACTATAAGCTCACACGATTTAGTAATAACTCGAAGGCGGTAGCTATTTAATAAACTAACCTAACGCATTCTCGAAATTCATTTTAGTGAGTGTATCTAAGAAGCGATCCAATATAAAACTTATCATGATTCATATTTCAAACAGTCAGTCACACACGTATCTTCCAAAAAACGCTGACGCATCACTATAACTTCGTTTACAGATTACGTTTCTAAAGAAGAAAAGTGAAAAATAATAAATAATAATAAGACTGAATTTTAAAAGCATACTCGTACATATGTAGGCAATAGGTACTAAAAAACGAAAAAAACATATATCTGTTAATATACCTACCAAAGTTTTTTAGAGCAATTACGTTATTTTTTTATTTATGATAAAAAATAAATAATTGAGAGTCTTAGATGG